AAAGACACTAATAATTAATCACACTGATTCATTTTATTTCGCTCCGAAGCTTCGCTTGTCTCGCCAAATTCAATACTGCCCCGATCGCGTCTTGCAGCGCCTTTAAATTTTCTTTTCACATTTTTCACGAAATCGGTTAAAATATAGGAAGTGAAAACCCTTGGTTGTAACAAAACACGGCAAAGTAACCATCATAACGTGCCATCACTGGTAACTTTGTCAAGTCATTTCTATAGATAAATATTAAGACCTTTTAATAAAATTAATATTACCCTATTACAAAAGTTCTGGAGCACTAAAAAAGAAGTTACGTCAGTGGCAATACTCCGCATTAAAATAAAATGCCAAAATTAAGTCTCGTGTATCTATCTATCGAAAACAATGCTGTAAATTAGTTATTAAATTTTTATTCAAAAAATGGCATATCTCGTAAAACGTTACGTTGTCCGTGCTTATCGTAATTGTGTACCTGTACACCCATGAAAGCAAAGTTAACTTCCATTGTTAAAGTTGCCAGACTTGATTGTTATAATTTTTTTATAGAATAAGGGTGACAAACGAGCACACAGTCCATCTGATGGTAAGTGGATGGTGTGTCCAATAGATATCTACATTTATCTTCAATTAATAATCAAAATGTAGGTGTGTTCTCACCCCTGAAGACTGAGTTGGAATGCCTCTTTCCTTTCACATTCACCATACGAAACTCAGCAGCATTAAGCTGCTATTTTACGCTGATATTCTGTGAGATCGTGGTCCTACCCCGATTAAACCGACCCATTCGTGCTGCATAAACAAAATATAGATGCAGAATGGCTCTACCACGTAAAGAGGTCATTTTCTAAATTTTCATGTAGAGATCTACGAGACATTATCTACCGTTGGTACTCGTTATTATTATGAAAAATTAACCTATATTTTACACGAAATATATTTCACATCTCAATGCCATACTGTGACTCGAGTTGATGTTGAGTAGTTCAATTATGCGACTAATAGGCGGCTTGGTGAAAGATAAATTTGCGTGACTTGTGACATAAGAGTGTTCAATGCTAAATTAAACTCTACTTTTTGACCTAATTACTGAACCGATTACGTTCATTTTTTGTATATCGTCAGCAAAGGCGATAACAAGTATATGGTTTCATTTATTGAATATATGTGGGACCCATTCTGTATAACAGCAGAATAAAAACCCTACTATTAGGTATGTTATCCCTGAGGAAAAAAATAAAAGGACTTTTGTGCGGTTTCGTACTGATTATATGTAAAAGATAAACTCTTTTTGTGTTAGAATGGTTTTAATTTAAAAAAAAAAATAATTAAAGAATCGGTTAAACCTTTGTAATTTTTTCGTAATTTTAAAATAAACTTTTTTTTATAAATGGTAAAATAAAAATTTTGTACAACCGAATTCAATAGAAATAAAATGAGAACATCATCTATGTATTCGAGTCAATTAAATACGCATTATTAAAGATAACTCAAAAACTGCTGGTCAGATCTGGATCAAATTTCAAAGAAAAAAGAATTATCAGAATCAGTATAAGAAAAAAATTCAGAGATAACATATGAAAAAAAAAACAGTCGAATTGAGGACCTCCTCGTTTTTTAAAGTTAGTTGAAAATAGAGCATTTTCACTTAAGTGAACGCCATTCCCACTGCTTTTCGTAATGAATGAAAATATAGTGTAGATATTGAATATCTTCAATCCAAACAATATGGGCAAAAATGATGAATATTTAGCGTTAGACTATTTACGGAAGAAGCAAGATATAAAAATATGTGGACATAAACGTGACTTATTAATAACACAAAAGCAACTAAACAATTTTACTGCCTTCATAGCTTTTAAAAAGCTGAATCTTTTATTTTATATTTTGATGTGCCTATGTTTATTATTTATTCTATTACAAATATGTATTTTGCTTACTGTTGTGTTTTATTTTAACATCCTACTTCACCAAGAAATGTTTATAAAACAATTTCGTTCCAGTTAAATGCACATTTTCAATGTCGCGGTGAAAGTGCGCAATATGGCATTGCGCGAAATGAATTAATTTATATTAGAATAGTTCCGTTTCAACTTTTCTGGACGAGGAGAAATCTAGAAGGCATGTTAGTATTTACTCACCGAACGAAATGATCTGAATTTTTACAGGTGAATCACACAATACCAGCACTTTTTTTAAATAATGGTAGCAGGGTTCTGCAGCACCATATCATCAGTATAACTGATGTTCTTAACTTAACAAGCACCGTTTATTATAGAATAAGAGTAACAAACGAACTGGCCACTGGCCCATAGATATCTACATTTATCGTCAATTAACAATCAAACTGCAGATGCGCTATCACCCGTGAGGACTTAGATAGAACGCCTCGTTTTCAGTAAAAAGGGTCTCCGGCTCTCTGCAATCACCATACCATACACAACAGCATTAAGTTGCTATTTTGTGATGGTGTTCTGTGAGAGCTTTGTCCTTTCCCAGTTGAGCCGACCCATTAGTGCTACAACCATAATATAACCGCAGTCTAGCTCTACCACGTTTTTGTAACATCCCACGGGCTTCTGAGTTCCTCGACTAGCCTATTATTACACAAATTGAAAAGGGCAGGCAAAGGTCAAACACTCTTGTCCCTACTCTCTCTCTGTATGGTTCAATCTGACAACATAGTTTAATTATTGTACTGATCTGCCGCGTAGTAGTGGCTTAAGAGGATCCATCACTCTGTTTTGTCCCCTTGATGACGCAAAAGGCAACTAAGAGAAATCCCAGAAAGACGTAATGGCTTCTGATAGATTACGGTATTATAATCCCGTTACTGCTATATGTACTATATGTTTATACCAGTTACTAGACTCCACAGAATTAAAAATTTATTAATGTGTACGCTTTATCTACAAACTTCCAAGAAAATGTACAAAATATGTGAACAAACGAATTTAAATGTTTTATTAAAGAAAAATTGTACAAAGGGGTGATTAATATCAAAGAATACATAAATGAAAAAAAACTGAGAATGAAGTAATCGCCACCGTGCTGGTTCTATAAAAATTAATTAAAAATTTGTACAGAAAATTTATTGTAAAGTGATGTGAAATATGCTTAAAAAAAGTCCCACCGGTTCTTCCCAAGATATAGGCGTTTTCCGAACCAGTGGTAAATAAAAAAAATAACTTTCAATAACTATTATGTAATGGTATATATTGAATAAAAATTATTCTATTCTGCTCTATTGTAAAATACACGTAGTGGAAACGGGAGCTGCGTTAAAGAAGAAAGAGTATAAAAAACCTTTCATAACCGTCAGTGTCAAAGGCGGATGTTCAAGATGATCCAGTAAGCTCTCTTTGGCCGTAAATGGATTAAGGAAGTCTCACGCCAGGCGAGGTATTCAGTCCAGGGATCGTCCGTGTAATAGTACAAATATATACTGCAATAGATCGGAGCTTTGATAGTGTGATTTAGGCTTCGATCCGTTACATTTATGGCACGATAACAACTGTTTAAAAATGTAGTACAGATACGTTGAAATTTGTCCCAAATGTTAATGTTACTGCTACAGTAAAGTGCGAATCTTAACATATAATGCTCACGTCAAGTAAATTTATTTTATTTATATAGGCATATTTTATTATCCATGATCTTTACAGTGTACAGCTGTTATGTCTTATATTATGTATAATTTTTATTGTTCTTAATTTAAAATAAATATTTGAAATCAAGATCAGGTAAGTGCTTTTTTAGTTTATATTCTCATTTAGATCTATCTCGAAAATTAGCCTTTTCTATGCTTTCTGTATACAGTTACTGGATGCTGTGGTTGAATATTCAAGAGTGTATTTTATTATTAATATCAATTTAGCCTTAATTAGTCTTCTTCTCTAAAACATATTTGATCATCTTTATATAACAGCCTATAAAAGTCTACTGCTGAACATAGGCCTCCCTAATAATGTCCTCCAGACCGAATTTCGGCCACGGCGGCCTGCCTCAGCGGAAGCATCGCCAGAAGCCATCGGCGCAGGACAGGATTATAGTGCCCAATTGTGTTCGCAAGCACAGGTGGACTCTCTAATCCCTCACTCTCATAATACGATGGGACGGTAAACCGATACGACCGGAGGGAGATCAGGCGCAGGACCAACGGCTTTACGTGCTTTCCGAGGAGGCGTCCCTATATTACTTAAAAGGCTCGTTTTGCCATAGTAGCCACGCTTGACAGACGCGTCTGGAACCGCATTTTTTTTCTTCAATTGTTATTAGGAAGATGTTGCGGCCCATCACCTTTTTCAATATCCCACTGCGCCTCTTACGACACCCACGGGACGATATGTTGTATATAACTAAGATAATTATATATTTAAAAAAACTTGTTTAAAATTATGTCTTCAACTCACTCAACTGACAGGAGTGAGAGCGTTTTATAGAATCTTTTTAATAGAATAAGGGTGACAAACGAGCACACAGTCCACCTGGTAGTAAGTGGACACTGTGTTCCACAGACATCTACATTTATTCTCAATTAAGTATCAAAACACAGATGCGTTGTCACCCCTGAGGACTAAGATGCAATGCCTCGTTTCTAGTAAAAAGGACAGAAACCCTTTTTAAGTACAGTAAACCTAATAAATGGATGCTGTTGCCCATAGATATCTAAATTTATCCTCAATTAACAATCAAAATGCAGATGTGATCACCCGTGAGGACTAAGATTGAATGCCTCGTTTTCAGTAATAAGGGTCGCCGGTTCTCTACACTCACCATACGAAACAGCAGTATTAAGCTGCTATTTTACGCTGGTATTCTGTGAGAGCGTGGTCCTTTCCCAGTTGAGCAGACCAGTTCGTGCTAGAACCATAATATGGCTGTAGCGTGGCTCTACTACGTACAAAACGTATTTGGGTCTTCCGCTTTGTTTTGTAATCATAAATTTAACCAACCCTTTGGTTTGGTTACATTAAAAAAAAAGTTTTTATGTTTTTAGGTTCAAGATGGCGTTCAGGTTTTTACTTCTGCTTTTTCCCGCGCTGGCACTGGCTAGGATAGACGTCGAAATATTGGGCGAATTTCATGGTAACGACAAAACAGTTAATATCAACTACTCCGGGAGCGATACAAGCGTGATATCCGAAGAGGAACGCAACACTTTCATGCTTAGCGAGGATACATTGAAGAATAGCGCGTTGAATTTCTTCGGTAACCGTCCGGATAATGTCTACCTACGCAGTCCGACGCCTTGGGGTGATTTGTATAAGACATACAATTGGGAAGAAGTTTCTAGAACACTCAAGCCAAAATTAGGCCGTATTCTAAACGTGTCTGCTGAAACCCAGACTATTGCGAGTCAAACGTTCGAGAATAAAGAGACCAAACCTACAACTTTCAACGTCGGCTTATCGAAACATCTAGAAAATACCGTCTCATCGTTTTGGATTAAAGATGGCGAGTTGACAATTAACAAGGGAATTAACTACGACATCAAATTTGGCAACACAACAATCACTTACACGTCTCTATGGGGTTTGAACACAGAGAAATCTATGACTACCTTAATAGGGTTGAACAATTTAGAAATGGTACTGCAACCTGGCCAGTCAGTTACTACAGAACTTATTGTTACAAAGCTAACTGCCACACTGGAGATGGAGTACGCGGCATTCCTTTCAGGAACAGTTGCGGCAAACTATCACGAAGCATTCAAAGAACATCACTTCTGGGCGTTAGACGTGAACGAGATGATGGCTGCCAACGAAATGGCGAATATGTCGATGTCAAAGGAAACCATAGACATTATTTTCTATTCTAATCCCAAAATGGTTGTTGTTGATACAAAAACGGGTGTTGAAATAAATGATATAATGTCATGATTTTAAAATAAATTAGTATTTAAAATAATAAATTAAAGTAATATAGGTTTTATTTTACTTAAACTCTTTAATTCATTTCCACATAATAGCATCTGAAGTCTGTGCTGACAGTCAAGTAAGTACAGCAAATATGTAACATAACACATAAACTCTCACGCCTGTCACCCAAAGGGGTAGGCAGAGACTACAGAATTCCATTTAGCACGATCCTGACGCACCTCTCTCGCCTCTTACACATCCATATACCTACGCATACATGCTCGTCAGTTAGGGATACTCTTAATTTGGCCCATTTTTAATTATATCGCCAATTTGTTCGACAAACTTTCGCCTAGGACGACTAGGAGGACCCTTTCCGACTCTTCCATTCACTTCTGCAACGTATATTTGCTTTGTCAGTCTTTCCTCATTCATTCTTTCTACATGACCAAACCACTGAAGCATTCCTTTATTAATCCTGGTCACCGCTTCATCTTGCAAACCACACTCTTCTTTTATCACACAGTTCCTGACCCTGTCACTCAGATTCAGCCCTAACATACTCCTTAGCGACTGCATTTATTTTACTCTCGTGCTTCTTCTGCTACACCCAACTTTCACTACCTACCATACGTTAAAGTAGGGACTAATACAGCACTGTGAATTGCCATACGTGCCCTTTTTGACACATTCTGACTTTTCACAATAGAGTGTAGAGCCCCATTTACACTGTTTCCTGCATTCACTCGTCGTTCAATATCCTTATCATATCTTTAAATATGTAGTAATTATTAAATAATCCACGACTTCTTCTGCCACCAGGGCGGCGCCACTTGCAAATGAGGTGTAATATTTGACAAATTTCATAGCGAGTAAGTTAATTTGTTCGAAAAACTTAAAGGTTAATGTTTCATTCCGTACTATTAGTTATATTTTACATCTAGATTAAAATAAATAAACCAGACCACAGATAACTACTTATAAAAGTAGAAAATTAAAAAAAAATTAAAAATGTGGAAAAAATTAAATAGCAAAGCACTGAGGAATTGATTTGTGTATTAATATAATACTCTAGAAACTGATAAACTTAATTTAAAACTAACGTTAAAATTAAAGCGCTTATTACACAATTTTTAGAAAATCTAATTAGGAACCTAAATTGGAAGCTAATTGGAATTGCATGGAAGAAGATTACACTAAATTGAATTCTAAATCGTGACGAAGCGCATTCGTAAAGAAGTATCGATGGGGTTGCACGTTTGATCGATGGTGCCGTATTTATCAAAACAGCAGAAAATAGGACTTGTCTTAACCGTGGTGGGAACAATGGATATTAAAAATAGAGAAAAGAGTACTTGTCACTGAGAAAAAAAAACTGTCCAATATGAACATAATTATATATTTTTAGATTCTAAGCAGTTTTTTTCATAGGATAGGTTGACAAACTAGCACACAGTCCACCTGATAGTAAGTGGTTGCTGCGGTCCATGGACATCTACATCTATCTCCGATCACAAATCAAAATGCAGATGCGTTGTCACCTGTGACGACTAAGATGGAATGCCTCGTTTCCAGTAAAAAGTGTCTCCGGTTCTTTACACTCGCCATACGAAACACAGAAACATTAAGCCACTATTTTACACTGGTATTCTGTGAGAGCGCGGTCCTTCCCCGGTCGAGCCAACCCATTCGTGCTACAACTACACTACTAATATAACTGCAGCATGGCTCTACCACTTATAAAACAGTTTGAATATTTGTTTGGTATCCAAATATATTGAAAAAGAAGTCACGATATTTCGATAAAGTGTGAGTGCCAAAGAATGTTTGATGGTGACATTACTTTTTATAGCCTCCGGAAATTAATATTAAGATTTAAAGTACTGCTCTCTGATATCAGAACCGCTTCTATCAAAACTTCAAGAGTTCAAGACATCCGCTTGTATCAAAGCACGGGCGCCTACTGGTTGTTCTAATTCTAAATCGTAACGTTGCGATTACACTGTCCTAAATTGTAAACAATTTAGGAAGTAGAGCAGTCGGGACCTCCAATCTTAACTAAATCGGATCCTAACTGTTCTAACTACGATTACACCTTCCTGCTTCCTAATTAGAGTTTCTAAAAATTGTATAATGTAATAAGCTCTTACGGTCACAAAACTTGGACCTGTCAACGTGTCCAAGTTTTGTGACCGCTAAGTACAGAGGACATGTATACATGTCCGCATTACGTGCTGCTATTTTCGTCATTAATTGATATAAAAAATACAGTATATTTTCGATTGAACACTATTTCATTCGATTCTGAACGAACTAAAGAATATTCTTTAGCATTATATTCATTCGGTTACATAGACATCATCAAATATAACGGCTATTCGCTTTTGCGTGCCGGTGCCGTTGGTTGCGTAATCGTTGAAGTTTTGTGATTGTGATTTTAGTTGGATTTTCTTTCAAAAAAACTGTAAGTATGTTATTTATCTTTACTACGTAATATTTTTGAATGATTTAAGTTACAACAACAGTAACTTTTTATGTTTCAATTGATAAAAAAGTAGAAATAAAAACTACTACGCAAACAATTCGTAACGGTCAAGATTTCTAATAAGATTCTAATAAGATAATATTAATATATTTCTTATTGGAATACCATAGTAAATACTTTTACTAGTAATTGCTAAATGTTATATCTATATGATTGTATAAGAAAAATAAAGGAAGACGATATAAAATATATACACAAAAAAGGTTTTGAAAATGAGTTTAGTAAGCGCGCGCAAACTGTCTATTGTCGAATTTTTAGCAAATGTTTGCAAGTGAAAAAGTAGAATTATTATAATTATTACATGCATAATTTCGGTTCATTTAGGAAGAATATGTTGTATTGATTGTAAGGACATAAAAATAAAATTACAAAAAAACTTCAGCTAAGTCCTGACTAGCGACATCTAGTGACCGACATATTTATTTCGGTCACTAGATGTCGCTAGTTGTACTCTTCGTGAAGTCAGTTTTTACATTTTATGAAACGACTACTTATACCTTATTTTCCTTTTGGAGTGTATTAAGGTATATGACAAGTTCAATTGTTATCGTTACAGGCCTCCCCTACCGATTGCCTCGTAGGGGGGATATTTAGCATAGTTGCAACGCTCGGCAGGCGGGATGGCAACTGCAGTTTTTTATTTATAATCGTTATTAGGAAGATGCTGCTGCCCATCTCCTGCCTGTCTCCCTCTGTCGCCTCTTACGACACCCACGGGATGATATGATGTAGTGGATATTCTTACAATACCACTACACGGTCCTCATTTATTCTACTTATTGCTTTTTAATTAATTTATATATATATATATTTAGTTATATATGGAAATTATGGGCAAAATATAAGCATCTTAAGTCTGTGCTACTTTACTGTGCTACACAGTAAAGTATAGCTGTTCTGCGATAATTATTTATTCCTTTTAGTTTTTTAGTTGGGTTTACTTTTTATAAAATGTTCAATTAATTTTCCTTTGAGTGGATTAAGTTATATGACAAGTTCAAAGCAAGAACTAAAACGTCATACAGCTGATTTTTAAATGTTTTTTTTTAATAGATTAAGTGTGACGAACGAGCGCACACTCCACCTGATGGTAAGTGGATGCTGTGGTCCATAGACATCTACATCTATCCACGATTAAGAAGATAATAATAGATTACCACGTGTCGTTCGATAATAATAATAAATTACGGTGGGTAGAGCCGTATTACTCTGCAGCTATATTACGGTTGCAGAACGAATGGGTCGGCTCGACCGGGGAAGGACCACGCTCTCACAGAATACCAGCGTCAAATAGCAGCTTAATGCTGCTTGTGTTTCATATTGTGAGAGTAGAGAAAATAAGGCATTGCATCTCAGTTCCTAGAGATGACAACGCATCTGCATTTTGATTCTTTGTTGAGGATAAATGTAGGTGCCTATGGGCCAAGGCAACCACTTAGCCACTTACTATCAGGGAGTAATTTTTTATTTCTTTTTGTGTTGTACTTTAATCTATGAATAAATTTTATCTGATGATTGAAATGACATTTTAAACTTAACCCTGTATTTTTTATTTTAAAATTATTTTATTTTCATATTTAAATGGGACAACATACGCTTCGAATATAGTTCCTCCTTCGTTTTTGAAGTAGAAATTAGTAAATCGTAATTTATATAATTGCTAGAAGAAAACAATAAAACAACATTCAATATAACAACACGCATTTCTTTAAAAAAATTAAGACCTAACATAACATGCGGGTTTCTTAAAGATTTAATTATTTTTACAGAAGAGCTATGCGGTTCGCACTTAACTAATTATTACAATAGGTATTATTACCTTAGGACATTAATTAATAAATAAAGTTATAATGTACTTTGCAATTTGGTTATCCCTATTAATATGTCTACATTGCTATATTTTCATTATACTTTAATAGTACACTGAAGAACAAAAAAATGGTACACCTACGTATAGATTCTATAATATAAAACTGGACGCGCCTTTCTTGTGCTTTCGGTAGATTATATCACTTACATCATGTCAAATGTAGTAGAAAAACTAAAATATACTAAAACAGCACAAAAGGCGCGCACATTTATATTTTATGCTACCTAACCCTTTCCAATTCAATTGTTTAACTATTGTATATGTTTCGCGGACAGGGAGACTGTTAATACGGCAAATGTGACAAAATCTACCAAAAATACAAAAGAGGCGCGTTCAATTTTAAATATGAGTTTCTCCACTACTGTATATTAGGAACAATAAAATTAAATCAGCCTTAATATTACCTTCTCAAGCGTAGGTTTTGTCTCAAATGTTAGTTAAAGCCAACTTTGTCATGGTGGATTTTACAAAGTAACTATTTTGAAATTTGTTTACAATGTGCGCTTCAAAATTAAGTCTAACATGTTATGTACAGTATTTGATAACTTTTTAAAAATTATATAAAAATCTTTAAAAAAAACTATAGAAATACTATTTTATTTTGATATAATATCATAAAAAAATCAAAGCAAAAGTTATTAATTACAAAAAAAAAACAATATTACTTTAATTACCTTTCCCAAAACACATTTTTTTTAAATCTCAACAAAATATAAGTACGAAAACCTGTTTGGAACATTCTAGATTTTAGTGTTGTAATAATACATAAATATTAATGTTTATCAAATAATAATATTACATAATAATTAAAACAAAATGACCATTTTAAAAATATTGTTAAACTTACAATACGATAGGTGCCCTGGGTGCCAGAAAGTACTCGAAACATCATGAGGAATATAAACTACGATAATAAAACGCGATAAAATCCGTAGAAACAAGTTTCCTTCAATAATACGATAGTGCATGTACCTATTTATTGCAAGTCAGTGTACGTAGATAATACATAGATAATAAAAACTTACAAAATTAATATAAATACTTGGTTCCTACTATAAATTGTGGAGTATTATGATTACAGCCTAAAAAAGCATTAAACAATTATAAAATTGTACTTTTTAATGCAATGAAGTATGTTGTGCTCTTTGAGTATTCAACCAACTTTGTTTGAATATTGTATTGTATTGTATTTGGTATTGGTTTAATACTCAAAGGTTGTGCTACATGAAAATGCATATTCCGAAAATTACCTTTGCCTATTTCGTCATATTTTAAATATAAATAGAACTTTATACAATATTAAAAATATACTATATATAAATGATACGACTTTTAGGCCGTTGCCTATTCTGGATGTAAAGAAATAACAACAAATCACGTTATACTAAAAAGTTTTAAAATAGTTCAAAATCAGATTAACGTAAACTGGTCAAAAAAATTATATATTTTTAAATGAGTATCTTCTTCAAACTCTGCCTTCGCTTACTTAATTTATATGTGTAATCAAAAAATACACTTAATTAAGCAAATGTAACACAATCATTTTGGGGTGTCTCTTTTGCCCCGCTTGGTTTGTTCCTCTTTTTTTCTGGGGGTTGTTTTATAACCTTGAAAGTTCTTATTGTTCGTCTACAATATAAAATTAACAATTATATGAGTATATCTGTACTTTACGTATTTTATGTGTATGACTGTACTTTGCGTATTTTATGCATATCACTGTACTTACTAATCGTGCGTAATATTTGATGAAACAGACAGTTGTATAAATGTGAGATGAGAAAGGAAACAATTAAAAAGAAATTGGATATTTTGTATTAACATTGAGTAACACTTTAATAAGAAAACAGGATAATGCAACGCTGACTTTAGCGAGAAGAAAAGAAAGGGAGTCAGTGATGTCATGTGTGGTATTGCAAGTGGGCCAGCGGGTGTTCGTAGAGGGGATACAGCGGCTGCGGCGGGAGTGCTGGCGGATGAGGGGCATCACTGTCGTCGTCAGTCGAGGAGTCCAGAGGCTTGTCACCGCCGCCGCCACTGAAAAGGAAACATATAAAATAATTTAAATCATACGAGAGCCTTTCATTATTATTCATATATATATATATTATTTATTATATTATATTAATTATTATTTATTTATTATATTATATTATATATATATATATATATATATAGTCCACTTTTTTTGAAGTGAAAACTTCTTTAGCGGCGTTGTACACTTTTTTTTTGTAATGGGTAAGTTAAATTCGCGTCAGGACTTGACCTGATCGAAAATGCGTAAGACGGACGGCGTAGGAAAGGAAGTATCCCCCTCTCTATCTACGGCGCAGCGAAAATATATGCCTGCGCCTGCTGTTTCGTTTAGGCGGCGCCTACGAACCTCATCACGGCCATAAGTTGCCGAGCTGATCAGGTCGAAAGCCATAAGAAGTAAACAGTGATAGAAATTGATTTCTCTAATTGTCATTTCTTATAATGATTTCTTATATTTAAATAAAACGCGATAAAATCCGTAAAAGTAGTTTTAATCAATGTCATTTCTTATTTTGTTTTATAGGATAGGATAACAAACGAGCACACAGTCTACTAGATGGTAAGTGGTTGCTGTGGCCCATAGACATCTACATCTCTCCTCGACTACGAATCAAAATGCAGATGCGTTGTCACCCGTGAGGACTAAGATGGAATGCCTCGTTTTCAGCAAAAAGGGTCTCCGGTTCTCTACACTCACCATTCGAAACACAACAGCATTAAGTTACTATTTTATGTTGGTATTCTGTGAGAGCGTGGTCCTTCCCTGGTCGAGCCGGCCCATTCGTGCTTGCGTGCGTGTATAGTATGCAACTACGAGTATACTACTAATATAACTGCAGCGTGACTCTTCCACATATTGCAGCATGGCTCTACCACGTATATATCTTAACAGATTTACATTGAAGTCCTCACATAATATTATAGAGAGCTCTACAAGTAACTGTCTTAAAAAGAGCTCCATTTGCGTTAGAAAAGATTCATAGTTATTATATAAAGAGATATTCCATCTTACTCCTCAGGGGTGACAACGCATATGCATTTTGATTTTTAATTGAAAATAAATGAAGATGTCTATGAGTTACCGAGTACAGCATCCACTTACCATCAATGGACTGTGTGCTTTTTTGTTAACTTTATTCTATAAAAAAGAAGAAGATATTTCTATTTATTGGCACAAACCGAATTAAAATGTGTAAGTTTGAGTGGATCCCCGCATACTTGAACGAATTAACCTGCATAGTTTCGATGCATAATGGAGAAGATAACCATTTTGTTTGATATGCCAAAAATTCCACAAAAAATTACGAGAATAACTGTGTTTTTAATTTTTTTTTCTATCTTCAAAACTGACCGAGATATAAAGGCGCAAAGTTAACATTTTCAGTCTAAGCCGCGGGCCGTGAGCGACATCGTTGATGACGTCACGATTTCCATCTTCGTGCGAGCGACCCGACGCGCACTTAGGAAATCAAAACATTTACTTTTCCGTATATATTACACTACTCTATGCATTTACTCAAATGTGCCCGTCGTTCGCGGATCTACTTGCTATCTATGTATTCTCTATATCCATCTATCAAATATTGTGCTGTGCCTCAATGTAAAAATACGGCCACAAAAACACCTGAAAAGTTGTTTTTTAATATGCCTAGATCTAGAAACGCTACCATCAGAAAAAAATGGACAAATGCTATGAGAAGAGCACATATTTAGGACCAAACACGGTAGCATATTATTGTGAGGATCATTTCGATGTAAGTATTTAAATAGCAGTAACCTTCACATGATAGCTCTTGGTTATTGCTAGTAAATGCTTTCTATTTGGCATGTAGGTACCTACCTATTCGCGTCGCAGTGTTTAAGTAACTAACGATTCATTGAACCTTTCCACGCATAATGATCATAATTTCAAGAAGAAACAATAACTAATACCTACATATTTAACTAAAACTACTTCAGTGTAAACAATCCAAACTTGGGTAAAGTACTTACCTATGTAATGTAGATAAGTCAATGACCTGTCGTGAGTTCGTAAGTTTAGATACCTACTTATGTTTGCGGCAAATTTTAAAATGTTTATAATGCATATAAAGGTCAAGGATATGGAATATTATGTTAACAAACGTTTTTATATTTTTACAATATTTCTCGCAAAAACTAAACACATCGCAGAGCTGTTCAACTGCATACTTTGCGGGCCGCAAATAATGGAAGAAGTTTGATTATGAAGTGGAGCACTTAAATTTTTTTTTCGTGTTGTCCTATTTTTATTTATTACATAGTTTATACGATACGATATTTTAAATATTGATGGAATACAAATTACGAGGTTCCTTATTTTTTTTTATAGACTAAATAAGTTTATATTTCGTTCTAGGTCGAAAACGATATGGAAAACTACGTGAAGTGCAAACTAGTTGGTGCCCACTCAAACTTAAAAAAGATGTTTTGCCTCACAAGTTTGCTTGTCAAAATCGGTATACAGAAAAACCACAAAGATGTTTACAATCAAAACTAAATGCCAAATCTAGGTCAGAAACAGTTGCACATGCGATTGCCGCTACTTCACAGGAAATTGAGCATAGATATGATGTCGATCCTGTTACTACTCTAGATGATAATATTGACATTGATCCCTTGCCTGAAGAATATATAACTACGATTTTAATGATAATAATAATGCGACCCTTTTTCTATTAATATTGAAACCATCTGATTTTTAGATAAAATCATATTTTTACACACCGAAGTTATATTTGTAGTAAATTTCTTTATAAACAACCGAAAATTTTTTTGAACATAAAAACTACAAAAAGGTCAGGTAAAGAAGAATAAGAAAACAAAACTAGTTAGAGGCAGATAGTAAGTAGGTAGGTAAGGAATGTTTACGTATTTTTGTTATACCTATTCTTATCATTAGCAAATGAAACCAGAAGTATTAATGTAATAATGGGTACCTAGGTTATAAAAATATTATCTTATTCTTATGCGTATTTCAGTCGCAACAAAATCATTGTTTCTTAGAAAATATTCCGGCACCATCATGTTACGGACTATTGGAAGGTTGTCAGATTGACCCTTTTGAAACCCTTCTTCCATCATTATATACTTAAAAACACCAGAGCGCACGAGGGCAAACAAATCACCCGCGAAATATTACTACAAACGTATGATCAGCGCGCTGGAACGGTATCGCGGCGCGGCCGCATGGAATCGATGACGTCACGCCCTACTCGCTGGCACGGGCGAGATTTTAAAAATCTACGTAAACTTTCCACGCTTATAACTTCGGTAATAGTGCACCGATCGATGTAAAATAAAAACTAGAATTATGTGTTTGGTCTAATATTTTTGCCTACGTACTTAAAAGTCTAATATTGTAAACTTGTTATCTTCTCCATTGAATTGGAAAAGCCTGGGTATATTTGGAACGAAATTAATTAAGTTTATACATTTAATTAGTTAATTATTTTTTAATTGACTGCCTCGTTGGTCTAGCGGTTGTAGTAGTGCGACTGCTGATCATGAGGTCCTGGGTTCGAATCCCGGGTCGGGTCAAAAATCAATTATTGAGTTTTTCTGTCAATAAATTTTCAGTAGCTGCCCGAAGTCAGGTAGTTCGCTGTGTCTCACCCCCGTGCCTCGGAAAGCACGTAAAGCCGTTGGTCCTGCGCCTGATCTCTCTCCGGTCGTGTCGGTTTACCGTACCCTTCGGATTATGAGAGTGAGGGAATAGAGAGTGCACCTGTGCTTGCGTATACACTTGGGCACTATAATCCCGTCCTGCGCCGTTAGCCAGCCTCCGTTGAGGCAGGTCGCTGTGACCGAAATTCGGTCTGGAGGACATTATTATTTTTAATTACAAATTAAGTGTGCTGACAATCTTCTTATATATAAAAAATCAATTGTTGTACGTTGGTCTCGCTAAAATTCGATTTTGATGAATTTTTTTGTGTATTTGAGTTGAATGGTTTAACTTTAAATGCTGCCTGTTAAAAGCAGCACGTGTGTCAATCGTGACTGAATTATATTGTTTGAGCCGAGTCAAATCAAAGTTCTGATGATTGTAATTACATACATGAACATTCAGAATCAAACGATTGACAGGACCTACAATAAGAGTACAGTACAGTAATTTCTGGCAGCTGACATAATCAAGCGGGTCTCACAAATCACAGAGTACTGAAAATCGAAATGATTCATTTGAATTATAGACAAGAACAACCCTGTTCGTAAAACAAATCTCGTAGATATTTCGATGATCGGGTCACTAAAAATGAATGAATGACGCATTTCTAACCCTGGATGGTTTAAAAACTCAGTTGGACCCGGCAGGTGGCGCTACTGTCAAGATAAAGAAATCAGCCGTGCGAAGCCAACGCGTATCGCTAGTGTTGTAAATAATTTATGTATAAAATATTTACTTATGTCTATAGTCTAGACTTAAAAGAAGCCATTCCCACCGTATCTAAGTCTAGCGTAAAGAAAAAACCACAGTCGGCCATCTTGCGTATCGAATTACACTCGGGGGCGTAATGTGGTGTACCTACATCAAGCGACCCCGGATGATTTGAACCGACTACCTACTAGACGTTACTCCCAGTGAACATCAGAAATACGATATTTTCTTTGTATTAGTTGTTCTCTATTTTAGATATTCGATATTAATTGATCTTGTCAGTTTAATAAGTTCGATGAAGCGTGTTTTCGTTAGCCGGAAATTTAACACAATCGGTTTTTTTTCCTTCAAAAGGTTCTTAATTTGTTCAATCCAGTTGGTTCAAGCAAGTTTTTTGAAAGTTGGCAAAGAAGCACTTAGTCCACCTTCTTGAGACATGATGCAGCTATATTGTGGTTGGTTGATTGGTTCCAGCATGAATGGGTCAGCTCGACCGGGGAAGGACCACGCTCTCACAGAATACCAGCGTAAAATAGCAGCTTAATGCTGCTGTGTTTCGAATGGTGAATGTAAAAAACCGGAGACCCTCTTTACTGGAACG